TCTCCATCCTTCTGCCTAGAACATAAATATGAATGGGCCCGTTATTCATGAGCTGAAGTACAAAGTTGGAACATTGACATTTGTAAACTTGTAGAAACTCTGTAACTTCCTCATCCCAACTTCTTTAAGCTACTTTTTAAAAATCATTTTGTTATTCGTAGTTGCCTCTAATAGTTTTCCTGTCACTTTTATAGTGAAACCTTTCCTGACCTTCCAGACAGCACATTGTGTATTATCTTTAAAGCATTTAGCAAACTAGTGGGTGATTAATTGCTTCTGTGCTTTCGTTGTTTTAGTATCTGTAGTAGAGACCATCAAAGTCCCCCGTCACCCTCTGGGAGTTCACTATTGCTATACACAGTAGGCCATAAACTTCTAGCTGCAAAAACCAGCATGTGTTTCAGAAAAACTTTGTCCTGAACAGCCCATGTGTAAGCCAGAAGTGAATGATGACCAGCACTCCCTGAAAACAACCCTCAGTCAATAACAGGAGTTGGTGTATACCCCTTTTCCCTTGACTTGACATATGGCCTACAGTCCAGTGGTGGTGAACCTATGCCATACATGCTGCAGTGGACTGTTTGCATCATCGAAAGCTCTAAAATGTTTGCCATCACTTGTAGACTGTCTCCTGGACTTCTCTAGCAGGACTGAACCTGAGTTATGTCATGATCACCTGTAGTAATATATTGACCTCTTTTCTTTCTATATCTCACTCCCATGGACTGCCGCCAGTGCTTTATGGGTTCATCTTTCAAATAAACTCACTAAGATTCAAACCTTTCAATTAAGAATAGTTTACTTCTGGGAAACTCAACCTACACACATTGTACAGTGGTACCTCAGTTCATGAACTTGATTCTTTCCATGATTCTGGTCACAGACTGATTTGGACAAGAAATGAGTCAAATTCCATGGTTAGGTTCAATGTTGACCTTACAAGGAAATTTGATTCCGTTCTTGTCCAGTTCAGTTTGCGACCAAAATTGTAGAGAGAATTGGGTTTGTGAACTGAGTTACCACTGTCTGTCTCCCTGACTAGACTGCTAGATCCCCCAGGAATTGAGAATGTGTTTGCCTTATTCACCATTTATGTCCAGTACTAAAGAATAACACAAGGCCAGCACTAGAAAGATGAAGAAAAGTATCAAATCACTACCTTCATCACCTGTGATACTAGTGGAATTTACTACTTAGGATGGATGCTATGAGATACAGATAGGAAATTTGATCCACCATCTTCGTACCTCTCCAGTTATTCTCGAAGAATAACACAATGTCAGTGATGATTGGGTCCCATTCTCTTTGAAATGTCACCCGTACAAATCATAGAAAATATGGCACACATCTTTTTATATAAGCTCTTGGATTTTATTACGATATTTTTGGGGAAGAATCTTTTACTCTTGTCCGTTATTGACCTTCTAAATTTGTCTCCTTCTTGGTCTACTACTTGACATTTTTAGGAGTGAAAGGCAGAGCAAAATATAAAACCATAGACATTATAGTACAGTGGTTAAGATCTACATGTCAGATTCAAACAGTCCCCACTTCAAATTTCAACTCTACTAAGTAGTTGCTCTTTAGAAAGTAACTCAGTTTATATTAAATTTTCTCCACTTAACAATAGGGATAATAGTTCCTACTACACAAGATTATTTTAAAGATTAAATATTACGATGCTTGTATAACAAATAATTCTGTCTTAGAGATAGTGCAATGGTAAACTAATTAAAGGATATATGCTATACTATTAAAAAATATTGTTGAAGATCTTGATCGTTAGAGAGGTAATATATTTCTCTAATGAAATCCTGATCCATTCCAAATTGTTCAGAAAATCAGACTAATTCAATTTTCTTTATCTTATTACTCAAAGACCTCATTCTGTTGTATGACATTCCATGTGACCTGTCCCTAAATTTACCTTCCTACACTTGTACCTCCTACCTCTCTCAGACACACACGTGCGCTCACACACACGCTAATCTGTAATACTACATTTCACCGTCAGTAGTCGCTGTTTGACATCACTCTACAATGTAGGATATTTCACCACTCAGGCTCTGAGTGTGTGCCCACGGAACCAATTTTATACATCAAAATTAATTTGCTGTGTTTATTTGGAGATGTGCCATGCAGCATGGCTTTTTCCACTTTACACTGGAGAGGAGCAGAGTTGGGAATACTTAACAGCAGTATTATATGGGACTCAGAGGAGAAGATTCTTTCCCTGGCGGCTCAGACAGTGGTGTGCTGCCGCTGAGCTGCTGTGATAATCAGCTGCCTTCCATTTATAATCTGAGGTTTGTAAACAGCCAGAAGATTCCCTTGGAGGGAATAATTATGTTCCCTTTAACACACATATAAGACAAACACTTTCTCTTAAATATGCTGTGGGCTGACTGCAAATAGATTTCACTAATGCTGAAGGAAAACACTCGGAACCAAAGCATGAAGACTCGGTGGAATAGGGATATGTAGAAGGCCAAGAAAAGAGCAGATCACAGCCCCCAAACTCCACCAGGCAGGGGCAGTCCTAGTTTGCTCATCCACATCGGCATGCATGGGGAAATGAGAAGAGCATGAATGGGCCAGTTCTGTACCTCATCTCACCACAGCCAGAGCAGCCAGTGTGTCCCTGGAGCGTGGCAACCCGCAATGTTAAGGCTCAGTTTCCTCTTTGTAAGGAGGGAATAGTGTTTCTTATATCCTGAGAATCAAATTATGCAACACACTAGGACAGTGGACATGCCTCAGATAGTAACATACATTGCAGATGTTCTCAGTACCAACGCCATGTTGCCGTGGAACTCACCTCGTGTACAAATGACAGCTTCCCATGGAGAACATCCAATCTGCCCAGGGATGTCTCTGCCCAGGTAACTGGGAAGAGATCGAAATGCCAGAGGGTTACCACTTCCAGGAAGAGCTCTTGGTCAAGCATGTCTAGAATTTAGTGAATAAATACCTCTTTCCTCACTTCTTGGGCAACACAACTCTGAGATGTATTCTACACTGTCTCTCAAAAGTCCCCTGTGGTTTGAGGCCCCTGCATGTATTCTGGCAACCCGCTCGCTAAATGCATTCTGTGTTGGCTTCTATCACTTCCCCATCTCATTTTCTACTTCTCAACCAAGGTTTCCTGGGATTACCTCCAAAATAAACCACTGGCAGTCAGATTCTTGTTTCAGGAGAGAATCCAGCCTAAACACTATCTCTCACAATGTAGACAGGATTTGTTATTTGGCAAATTGGGTTTGCAATAAAATATTCTGTTCACTAACGAAGCTCAACCTCCTTTCACCGCAGCCCCAGCCCCAGCCTCGTCAACATACTTCCAGTAACTCACCATCCAATCTGTCTCCCACTGACTGCCAAAGTTGTTATCCTAACATGCAGCTCTGGCAGTGCTAGCCCCATGTTTTGTTTTTTAAGGCTTTAGTGGTGCTCATTTCCTCCCTGACTGTGTCTTAAATTTTATACCATGGTACAAGAGACCCTTCGAATCTGGCTCCAAGCGAAACTTCAGCCTCCCTCCAGGGTCTGCTGAGCATAGCCAATGCTCTGTCTCCAGGACAAAGCAGGATCTTCTCTATCATGCTGTCACCTGTCACTGTTCTGTGTGCTTCAGTGTGCTTATGACTCTGTCTACAGACCCTGCCTCATCCTCTAAGATCAGGCTCCAATGTTCCCTCCTCCCTGAGGACTTCGCCAACTCCCTGGACAAGTTAACAGGTCCTTCCTGCGGACTCCCACAGAGGCATCTGCATTTACTGACTCAGTCGTTCACTCAAAAGCACTTTCTGGGCATAATCTACTAAGTACCACTCATGTGCTAAGCCCCTGGGAAATCATCCCAGACATAAGCAGAATAGCTAGCTCCTGCCCCTGTGAAAGTTACAGCTGGGTAAAGGAAACAGATATCAAATAAGCACATAAAAGACAAACTGACAGATTTTACAGACCCTACCTCCTTTTCTCCAGCTGAGATTCAGCTCCTAATAGGTAAAAACTAGGTATCACTGGAATCTATCCACTCCAGGGCCAGGCACATGCAGATAACAAAATTAGTGTACCCATTTTAAGGATGAGGATATTCAGGCTGAAGAACAGTGAATGAGTGGCCCAAGACCCCAAGCTTGAGGACTGCACAGCAACTGGCATATGTACCTACAATTTCTCACTCAATTGCATCTCTTTTCTGAAACTACCACAAGCCAAACCACCCCCACCCATCTTTTTTGTTGGTTATATTCTAAGAAAATGCAAGTTTTTCTATGAGCCCTCTTTTCAAAGGAACAAACATCAACAAAACAAAACCCCAGCTACTGCTCTGTGTGTGTCCACGCTTGCTGGGGAGGCCCTATCTTCCGGTCTTGGGCGATTGGAACAAGGGTATATACTGTCCTGACACAGAATTCTTTTCTGGAGCCTGTTTATCGGCCCAGGTGCTGACAATCGGCCAGCCCGAGGCAGCCCCTCGGGAAGCCCAGAAAGAGCATCCTGGGGGACCCTGGGGGTCCGGAGTGAGAAGATTCAGGTTTGGACTCTTCAGGGCGGTGACTGGGGTCTCTACTTTCGCACTCCTCGCACCTTCCCGCCCTCCACGCAGAACGGGCGGCCTGGGAAGCAGCCCGGCTTCCCGGCTGGCCCGCTGGCCCCACAGATCCAAGGGAGGGCAGGCGACCTCGTCTGGCGAAGGCATCCTCCAGGCCTAGACATTCATCTCTGTCCATTTCCAGGCGCCCGAGCCTGCGCCGTATTTAACCAAGTATTGCACCCTACGGGGGAGGGGAGGACAAGGCGGCTACTCTAGGAGTGTTTCAGCCACAAATCTTGGGCAAATCCGGTTTTAGGGCCGCGATCGACAGCCTCTTTTGAGACTGTTTCGGAAACCCAAGCCGAGACTGGGTTTGGGCCCGGGTGGGGAGAGGTGAGCGCGGGGCGGGGCGGGCCCGGGCGCGGCTCCTGCGAGGATTACGGCGGGGGCTGAGACCGCCGCGGCGCTCGCCCGGCTGCAGCCATTGCGCCTCCGAGCACCCCGCATTCAACAGGAGGAGCCCGCGCGGAGGACCCGAGCCCCCGCGCCCTCTGCGCCCCGCCGCCGCAGCCAGTGCGCCCCGCGGCCCCGCACGCCATGGCCAAGGAAGGCGTGGAGAAGGCGGAGGAGACGGAGCAAATGATCGAGAAGGAGGCGAGCAAGGAGCCCGCGGAGGGCGGCGGCAGCGACGGCTCGCACCGCCTCGGGGATGCCCAGGAGATGCGCGCCGTGGTGCTGGCCGGCTTCGGGGGGCTCAACAAGCTGCGGCTCACCAGGAGGGCCATGCCCGAGCCGCAGGACGGCGAGCTCAAGATCCGCGTCAAAGCCTGGTTCAGTATCCGCGCCTTCTCGCTTTCTCTCTCTTTGCGCTCGGCGCTCCGGGAGGGGATGGGAGGCACTCGGCGGGCACGCTGCCCGGGTAGGGGTCCGCTCCGAGCCCACCCCCCAGGCCAGCCCACCCTGGGGAGATGCTCAGAGGTGGCCCTCGCCCTCGCTCACCCGCTGTAGGGTGACCCGGAGGATGGTGGCGCCTGGAGCGCTGGTCTTACTGGAGTTCTCCATCCCGAAGGATGGCTCAGAAGCCGGTCCAGGGGCTGTAACGCTTAACGTGGTTAAACATATGAATAGCTGTCGGCTGACTGGGTGCCAGCTGCCCTTTGCGGAGTTTTACATGTGCAATCTTATTTCGTACTTCCTGGGACCCAGTTAGGGTCATCTTTCTGCACCATTACAGGTGAGAAAAACCTCTGTTCAGAGAGTGAGAGATTTGTCCAGGATCACTCAGCTGCCACTGACTGGCTCCGTAGGGATTTGACACCTGGTCTTTTAAACCTCTATAATGCTGTGCAGATGGGGCTCCGGACAAGGTGCAGTGCTGGGCCACCCCCCTGTACACTTCTCTCCCTGGAGCCTGGTGTAGGGAAAGGAACTGAGAAGTGGGAGGATCCAAGCCCACCCCTCTCCTCCTCCCTCCTCCATCCACTGTTTCTGAGGTGAAGGTGGGACCCCTGATCAACTCCTGCTCCTATCTCAGGGGCCGCCCAGCGCTCTAAGAGCCGCTGTAGCCCATTCCTGCCGGGGAAACCTCTCCAGACCCACACTCAGCTGAGATTCCCCAGAATGCAAGCTTCTCCCTGGGTATAGGCTACAGGATCATTTCCCCAAAGTTTTAGGGCAGGCTGACCAGGAGAGGCTCGCCGGACCCAACACTCTGCAGCAACCTGGGAAGCTTGTAAGGACAACTGGCTGTTTCCACAGAGAGTTGAGTGGAACCCCTTCTCCTCTGGCTTTCAAAAATCAACACACACAGCTCTCTAGTGCAGCAGCAGCCAGCTCGCAGGTTCTTAGGTTAGATGGGAAACCCAGAATCGATACCTGATCTAGAGGCAAGAAAATGCCCAAGGAGGTCCCCTGCCTTTACCACGTTAAGAACAGACAGGGGGATCTTTGGCAAGATCAGAGAACACTGGTGGGAGCTACAGGCACCGATCTTGGGTTCACCCCTCCTATTCGCGGCTGGTCAAGTTAGGCTCCAAACACCACTCTGAGGCCTTTCTGGGGAACTCAGGCTTTTGCAAACTGGAGGATCCTGTGCAAGTCTTTTTTAACTCTTACTAAACCATGCTGCTTGAATCTGGAAGGCAGAGTGTCTGCTCCTTTCACCCATAAACCCCAATACCTAGTGCAGCGCTTGGCACATTGGGGTATCCTGAAGAAGTCATTGCTAGATGGATAGGTTGAGAAAAGAGCTTGGAGGGGGATTGTTGAGTCACTTCTCCTGTGGGTAGAAGTACTTCTGCCTAGTGCAATTAAAGCTATGTACTGATAACTGATGGTTTCCTTAAAAAATCATCAAAGAGTAGTATATGTATACATTAATATTATGTGTATATATATTGTATATATATAATTTGTGACCCATCTTCCAAATTGAGGATGGGGTTCTAGGATTCTTAGGTCAAAGTCTATCTTCAGAGAATAAAATGTAGCTACTATTTTTTTTTTAAAGATAAGAGCCTCTTTTGCAGTGCAAATCAGTCTGTATTCTCCAACCTATGCATTCAGTAGCCTTATGCTACAGTAACTGCATAAATGCTTATAGGAACAGAAGCAGTTTGAAATAATAACTGTCAAGGTGAAGGCCAGGAGATTTATGTTCAAAGTCAGACACACAACTCTGTTCATTGGAGCGGTGTACATGCACACACACACACACACACACACACACACACACACACAGAGTAAAATCACTTCGTTGCCTCCATCCTATTTGTTTAGAAAGCCATGTGGGTATGAGATACAGTATCACAAAGAGCCCCAATTGATTTTCCTTTTGCAAAGCTAGAAGCAGAGTTAATCAGTTTTTCAAGGGAGGATTGGACCAGCATGTGAAGATGGCCCACTGGGCCCTTCTTCCTCCACTGGGCTGGGATTGGCTGGCCAGAGATGTTCATTGATTGTTAAGTTTTAGCCTTGAGATGCAGGATGACTCATTCTGTGTTTTTATGAATCAACGGCTGGCCTCATGGATGAAGATCTGCCTTTGATCTGATTTTTATTTCTAATGGAAGCCTTTTATCATCAAATAGGATATGCTTTTCACATGAAACTAAAGCATATTACCTCTGAACTAGTGTGAGTCCGACAATGAGGGCCCAGGTTGGTTACTCTATAAATTTTATGGAAATGGAAGAGAAAAGATAGGAAGAAATGCATATTTTATCTCACCTACCCTCTCATTCATGAGCTGATGAGATAGGTATCTTTTCTGAAACACAAGAGAACAAATTGAGGCCTGGGGACATTATTTGCCAGAAATTTCCCACAAATAGTAGAGCAAGGATGTGATTCTGCCTCTCCTTAAAGCTTTGCTGTTTTCTTTTCATTTTATTTTGTTCACCTTGGTTGAAAAGTCATAAAAAATATAATTCTCCTCTCTCGACCTTTGACATGCATGGTTTTTCTTTCACCCTTCAGTAATATGGATCATTTGCTCTGTTTATGTATGGCTTAAGGGAACTTTTTTGGGCTGTTCCCAGAGGAAGATAGCTTTCTCTGGAAGGGAGAGGTATTTGGTTAAATGTGGTGCAAAAAGAACCACTGCTCAGAGTAGGGGTGGGAAGGATAGCAGAGCTTCCTATCTAAAGAACATCAGCTTAGTGGAACCCATTTTACCAGTTATTCATGGAGCAGCTTACACAGTGAGAGGTTGGAATGGCCAAGTGGAAAAAGCATACGGCCTTTGAAGCAAGATGGGCCTGAGTGAAAGATGTCGCCGTGTTTCTTCCTGTCTATGTGACCTTGATGGCCGTGTCTCTATAGGCAATACTGTGTCACATGTGCTTAGTGGCTAGGAGTCAGACTTCCTAGACAAGGGCCCCAGCTCTGCCACCTGCTAACTGTATGTCACAGACCTGGCTTCTTGGAGGCAGAGCTTGACACAGGGATCCTTATTCAAGTGGTTTGTTGCAGGACTGCTTTCAGGACAATGGGACTAATAGAAGCAGGTTAGGGCAGAGGAGAGAGCTAAGCAAGCTCCTGATATGGTCTTAGCAGCTCCCACTGTACACTGCCCCGACACGGTCAGTCCCACCCAGAAGCAAGGTGGGGGGGGAAGCATTTTGTGGCATGGACTGCTTGCTAAGGTGGGCACAAAATCTCTGAAGCAAAGATGTTTCTGTTTGCCTTGGCGCAGTTCTCCAGGGAATCCAGTGGCTCTGAGCCATGAACAACCAACATTCCTAGGAAGTGGGAAGGGGAAGGAGTGGGTACACCACTTCCAGAAGGGACTCAGGTAGGGTACAGCCACACTTTCTAGTTGATACTGGCAATGCTGCCTAATTCCTCTAAAATTAGTTTCCTGCCTTGTAAAATGGAGATAATAATAGTGTCTCCTTTCTTAGTACTGTAATGAAGTTTAATGAGGTATAGCATATAAGACCTTTCTGATGAGGCCGGGCACATAGAAAGTGGTCAATAAATGACAGCCGCTATTATCTTAACTATTGTTCTTGGTTGCCATAGATACCCTGTATAGTCTGTCACTCAGACTGGAACTCTTTTTAAAGTGAAAAGGGCACTACTGATTACTCTGGAATAGCAGCAGCAAACTGGAACTGTGGTAGGCAAACCAGGGTGTGGGGTCCCCCCTAACTGAGGAGGGTCAGATCTGTGCCTTTGTTGCTATAAGTCTAGTCACAGAGGAGGGAGTTTCTGGTAAGACTTGAGGTTGGCTGAGGGTCTCCAGCTTGGGCTGCAGGAATGTATTTAAGTGGCCATTAACAAGCCTTGTCTCGTTTGTGGCTCAAATTGTCTTGTGGTGGAAAGGCACTAATGGATTGGGGACATTTATTTTCTCAGAGTGATTTACAGCAAGAGGCCATATGAAACTGCTGGAAAGAGACCAATCGGATGAAAAATGGTTCTGTCCAGTCACGGCTCCATTGGCTAATCTGAAAATGGGCCGAGGGCAGGCCACAGTAGAAGCCAGTCATCAGATTGGTGGGAGTCTAATATATCAGAGGAGCTAGGGGAAGCAATGAGCATTTATTGAGCAATTGTTATGGGCTGGGAGCTGAATTCCATGTATGTAGTACTGTTTCACTCCATCTCAGTGGTATCTCAACTTGCTCAGTATTACTGTTTCCATTTTAAAGAGGAGAACACGCACATCGAGAGTCCTCTCATGTTCACAGACCGCTAAGAGGAAGACTATATGAAAATCCAACTCTACCTCGTTCCTGAGTTTTTTATACTTGGGAGTCAGAGAGTCAGAAGACGTTGTCACAAAGCCACAGAACAGTGAGAGAAGGATAAAGGTAGAGACAGAGCTATGATGAGAGACAAAGAGACACAGAGGCAGACAGAAGTGGACACAGGGACAGAGAAATAACCATGAATGCATTTGATTAATTTAATATGGAACTAATAAGATTCAAAATTGCATCGTGCCATCCTGCTTTGCCCCGCAAATGGCCCTTTCTATACCACATCCATTTCCTATACTTCTGAGGTGTGGGATGCTTTGGGAATCCACCTAGAATCCAGTTGCAGTGACTGTTGACCCCAGAATGTTTATGCTGATTAAATGCAATCACCATTCCTTAGAACTACCCACGGTGTTGTTGGTCTTTCCCCAGCCTCTTCTGCTTGACTTGTCCATTGCTGCATGGGCGCTGTCCCCAAATAATCTCACATTAAACTGTCACTAATAAGGCTGATGCAGTGAAATATGGCCAACGATATTCCCTGTGCTTATTCAAACAAGCAAACGGAGTCCGTGAGGATAGGTGACACAAAAGTTTGTAAAGCTGAAAAATTGCTCAGAGAA